GGGATAAATAAAATTATTTGAATTTAACTGTAGTGGGGATTGAGGAATAGCAGAACCAAATGTATTCATAACATCTTTTTTTTTTTTCAATTAAACAAGCAAAACACAACACAGTTTGATTTTCACCACACAGGGCCTTCACAATATGCGGTATTTTATTGTGAAATGTGGGGTTAAAGGTTAACCGGAAGTTTAGTTTCCCTGTTTCCTCGGGTCTTCCACAGTAAACATGGCGGCTGCAGCAACACCAACAGTCCCGGAGCGAACACCGAAAGCCGCGCCTCCGGGGCCGCTGCCGTTTGACTTCTCTGAGCCGCCCGTTATCGAGGGCTTCAGCCCGCTGCCGAGGTCCAAAGATGAGACTTTTAAAGAGAAATTTATAAGGAAAACCAAGGAGAACCCCTTCGTCCCGATAGGTGAGTTACACAAGCGGCACAACGCGCCAGAGGGAAGTTATACAAGCGCGTCCTTTAAACGACAGTCAGCTCACATCAATGATAAATACATTATATTAGCATTTAAAGCGCTGTCATACTGAATTAGCTCTGCTAGCTGTGTCAGCTAACAACAGAGTAGCTAAACTGTATTTTTGTTTGAGTCATGCTCGTCAAAAACGTGCTTATATTTTAGTTAAAGTTGTGCCAAATGTGTTTAAGTGCAGTGTTGCCCTGATGGAAAATAGTATTAAATGTTCAAGGTAAGCCTAAAAAAAAAAAAAAACCTGAAGTGTACTCTATGTACTGTACATGTGGTCTCCTGTTACAGGCTGTTGGTATCCTGTCCTCCAACCTTTTGGATAGAAGGAAGGTGCAATTCTCCTCTGTTATAAAGTTTATGATCATTATCTGTTTCATTGCCAACTAGGTTTTCACATATTTGATTTTGTGTTTTGGTGCGTACCAGTAAATTAACGACAAGCAGAAATATAAGATGAAAAAAGTACGTCAAATTAACAGTAGGTGTTAAAAGACAAATAAAAAGCAAGTGAAGCAAATCTAAACGATTATAAGGATGATAAAAATATGTTTCGTGTTATTTCAGTGTGACAGCTGCACAGGTTGTATATCGTCCCTGAACACTGCTTCCTTTCACATAGAGGAGAGGTGAAATCTAAAAAAAAGTTTATGGTTGCAGTATTTCTAAATAATTTTAAAATTGCTGACAGTGAAGTTTGTCAGTCTGTGGACAGAACTTTTGTTGAGTTTTTCTTGGGCATTTCACAGACTTCCATTCCTATCCACTTCATTGTGGCTGGTTGTAAGGATTATCAAAGATAAATCTCTTCAGAAATCAGCAAAACTAGTTTTCTGACTCTGATAAACACTGCTAGGGGCAACAACAACTGAAAAAGGGTTATGCCCCTTGATTTTTGTGCACGCACCCTTTCCTGTTGACTGCTGTCAAAGTGGTGTCCTTTTGTTTCAGTCAAAATGACCCTGACAGTCAACACATGTCTGAATAGGCTTTTTGTTGCACCAAACACACTGCAGTGTCCTTTTATGCCTCCATCTTTCCATTCTACACTGAACAAAAATATTAACGCAGCATGCAATCTGTTCGGACTTCCAAAGCAAAAATGTCAATTCCATTTTTTCTGCTTTGAATAGAGCTAAATTAAGCCAATTGTGCAGAAAAGGTTTTTGAGAGGTTCGGCTGGTGACAAATTCACCACCACTGAGTTAATCCACACTGTCGTCAGGTGTTGCTTTAAAGGACAGTGATCAGATTGGGTGAGCGGCACACAGACGCTCCTTTGATCAGCGACTATAAAAGACCTGCTTAAAATGCAGCTTTATTGAAATGAAACGAATGTACAGATGACAAAAGAAAGACGAGAGCAGGTTGTTGGCATGCTGGATGCTGGCATGTTGTAGCCGTAGTGATTTTAAGGATGTTGTCAGGCGCTTGAATGTCCACAACTTCACCATTTGTCATCTAAGAAATTGTTTCAGACAGCTCTCAACATGATCCTTCATTTCTTGTGATTTCTGGTCTATGACCTCACTTTCAGTCTGCTAATTATCATTTTTAATGTATTGCATACTTGGTTGTTTCATGATGCTGCATGTTTAAATACCTATTCCCCTATGTTAAGGCGAATAAACAGAATTTGTTCAAATGCTGTGTGTATATTCATGTTGAGCATATATTGCAGTACTTAAAGTATCTGCTCTTCACTTTTACCTTCAAGTCCTTGCATTGTCTTTAAGTTGCCTTTTTTTTCCAGGTTGTTTGGGCACAGCAGGAGCACTGATCTATGGTCTCCGAGCCTTCCATCAAGGGAAAACCAGACAGTCCCAGCTGCTGATGAGGGGACGTATCTTTGCTCAAGGCTTCACTGTCGTTGCCATTATTGTTGGCGTCCTGTCCACGGCTCTGAAACCCAAACAGTGAAGACGGACCAGTCCCACTCCTCTGCCACGGTCCGTTCAACTTGGAGTCAGACCAGATCCAACTTGGAATTGGACTGTTCGAATAAACTGAATGATTTATTATGTTCCCGACATTGTTCAGACACATATGTTGAGGCCAACATTATTTATTGCACAAAAACTGCTCATAGTGATAAAATATTTTTGCTCTAAGTTAGCAGAATCAGCTCCTTACCAGACCTAGTAAGCCAGCTGGACTTTTCTTTAACTGTGCTATAACAGCACCCCTTGTATTGTCATCATTGTTATATTTTATCACACCTGACTGTGTCTTCTGATATAAATTTTGATTTGAGCCTGGTCTCTTGTGTTTCAAACATCACACAGCTCTACTCAGGTGCCATCTACTCCTTACACAGCCTGTATTTAATGGGATGTAGAAAAAACAAAATCAGAGTTGCAATTAATTGTAAGCAGTTATGTGGACGGCGACACAGGTCAGGGTCAAGGTTCACTTTGAACATTAGACAGGATTTCATGTCACTTGAAGACAATGAAGGACTTTTAATGTATGAAAAACGCAACCACACTGTGAAATCACTTCACCTGTATGCAGAGAATTTCGTTATGCAGTTAAGTGAGAAATGGAACAGTGATTTAACATAAAGAATTAAACACAAAACTTACAGCTGCGTTTTTGTTAACACATTCTTGCCTCCGGATTTGTCACAGTCTTGTTTTTGTCACCTGAATGCTTTAAATCGAGGTCTATTCCACAACCTTCAGGAATATGCGACGGAAGTGGTGCAGGGCCACACATGCTTTTATTCAAGTGATCATCTCCAGGGAAGGGCTGCAAGGTGGTACGTTGGTTGGCATCGTTGCCTCGCAGCTATTAGGTCGCTGGTTTGCGTCCCAGTGAGGTTACCTGGGATCTTTCTGTGTGGAGTTTGCATGTTCTCCCTGTGCAGTGCGGGTTCTCTGGCTTCCTCCCACAGTCCAAAAACATGTCGAGGTTAATTGGTGATTCTAAATTGTCCGTTGGTGTGAATGTGAGTGTGCTTGGTTGTCTGTCTCTAAGTGTAGCCCTGTGATAGACTGGTGACCTGTCCAGGGTGTCCCCTGCCTTCACCCTGAGTCAGCTGGGATAGACTCCAGCCCCCCATGACCCTAGTGAGGATTAAGCATGTATAGATAATGGATGGATGGATCTCCAGGGCAGTCGCAGCATAGAAATATTCACACACAAACTGACTGAGGTGATCATACTCCACTGTTTTTATTTTCCAGTTCCCTTTTAACATTCACTTTTTCAGTATTCATAGAGTCCAAATAGGCAACATGTGAAACAATGTGCAGACATCACTGTTGAAATTGACAGCTTATTGTTTTGTTAAAATAAACCTAAAATGTGTTGGTGTAACTCAGTCGCTAAAATGAGAAACAAGCCGTAAATCATGTGAAATTTAGGTGATAGCAGAAATCTTTGGTTGTGATTTTTTTTTCTTCTTCTTTTTGCTAAAATCTTGCCTAATTGGAGAGAAAATCCATCTGGCTGAATACTCAAACTGGAGTAAGAGCTAGATCAAAAAGGCCACAAGCTTATTTATGTGTAACAGAAAAGTATGCGAGCTACCTTAAATATTGGGGATATAATACAACAAATGTGAACAAAGTGTTTGTGTTTCTACATCGATGAGAGGCATACGTGGTTACAATCTAATCCGCAGCAGTGCTTCATTAGTAAGTGTTTGACCAAAATGCAAATTTATAAAACAACTAAAATCTGTGCATCCAAAATATTGGCACAGGCATGCAATAAAGTTGACCTAATAACAATTTATAAGTTAAAGGGGAAAGGAAAATGTTGAACTTACAGTAACAATATTTTCTTAAGTGTAGCAGTGATGAAGCTGACCAGCTATAGGATGTTGTAACAATTGAGCAGTCCATCGTCTCACAAGAGCCTCAGGTTAAGTATATTACTTGAATATATTAGGCATCGAGAAAGGCAGGAGGGTTTTTTTGTTTTTTTTAAAGGTTATAAACATACCAGGAGTTTTATGGAAAAGGGTATACAAATTCTTCTGATGCAATGTGAGATTAAAAGTGAAAAGGCAATGTTTCTACAACAAAATTCTCCCCCCGCGGCGTCCTCTAGCGAGCTAGAGGCGTCTGTTTGAGAGAGATGAGGACCGAACGCATTCGAGAAACATCCTTCGCCTGCTTGTTGGTTTTGGGGTTGAAGTCACAGAGACGAGCTACTCTCTCCCATTCGGACCCCGGGCTGTCGCCGTCGCTCTCCGCCAGGAAGGCCTCCTCGGATGCCCTGCAAGTGGGGGAGGGAGATGATGAGCTGCAGTATTGGGAGGGATTTCAGAACCAAACATGGTTCAATCATACGAATAGCACCTGGGCACAAGATACAATACAGCTTCATGCATTTCTTTAAACTAATCATTCATACTTATCAATATTTCTTTGTATTTGCTGGAGACATGTTTGCTATTTGCCGTTATTTATAACCACATTGAAGAACGGTATCACAGTCAAATTAAAATGCAAGAAAAACCAAATCAGGCCTTCAGAAGCAGACTAGTGATTTTAGTGTTGGGGCATGCATCGGGTAAAAAGTGGCAATTCAGGAGGGGACAGGGCATACAACATTAAAAAAAGCATAAGAGTTCTAAACCTACACAAAGCCTATAACATCAGAGTTGGGCTGTTTGTAGAAAGCCTTGTCAGCAATCCTAGTACGCAGGCAAGGCCAAGAAAGCAGGAAAAAAAGAAGGAGAAAGAAGAACAGTTTCAGTGTCAAACAACAAGCTTAGAAAAGTTAGGGTCTAATGTGAAAGGATTATGAAAGTGACTGAGAAACAGCTCTAATGAGGTAGAAATACTTTAAATGCTACAGCACTGACTGTATAGTGTTTATATACCACGATAATACCTGGTTGCTATTAAACAAGCTTGGACTGGGTGAAGAATTTCAAGCAAATGCAGACCATTTGGTGCTGGACTGTAGCATGGATGGAAACTGTGACATTTGCTTTCTGGTGTTTGCATTCCTTCAAGCTTGCTAGCTTCCTGTTATCTCATCAGAGAGTTGTCTCTCAGCACTTAAAAAAACAAAACAAAAAAACAACCCAAAAACTAAAACTAGAGCTACAGATGCAGAGTGATACCGTGCCAGACTTGGACAGAGTCTGTTGGAAAGTGTGAGAGAAGAACTGGTTAGCTTGGTCAAGAAAAAAGGAAAGGCTGCGATATAATTGGAAGCACCAGACTAAAACAACAATCTTCGGGTTGTAGACAGACACAAGCAATAAACTAATTCTATCACCTTGGTTGGGTAAATTAAAGACAAATCCTGCAACTGTTTACATCACTTCTTAATCATTCAGTTGTAAAATATATGCAAACCTAACCAATATTATGATGTTGATATAGTTTTCATTTTGAACAATTCCTACTGAGAACAATTACATCCATCAGCTTGAGTTGTTGAGCTGAATGAAAGGAGTTTAGTGTAGCGATTACACTGGCATCATCACCAACTGTTACTTCTCTGCATGTTAACTGGGGAAATGTCAGACCCTAACCTGTTGTTGGCCTTGTTCTTCTCCATCTGCTCATTCTGGTGTACATGCCAATCCTCCAGCTCCTTTTTGGCTTTCTCTCTCCACTCTGCCTCTGCCGCCTTGGATGCCGAGTCTTGTTAGGGTGCAACGGCAGAAAACAACATCGGGAGTCCCCAAGCAAGGAGGAGGAGAAGAAAGGAGGGATTGACATATGATTAGCTTGATTTGTGTGACATGCTGCATTGCTCCTCTTCCATGACAAAATGGCGGAATCAGGTAAGAAGTGCATTGTGTATCATGACTGATGACCCCATGGGAACATGTTTGCTCACCTAATGCTTCAAGGCGTGTCTTCTGCTCCTCCCTCCACTTGCGTAAACTTTCTGGCTCCTGCCTCTGAATATCCACCTGGGCGATGGCTGCATAGTTGTCTGTTGGCCCATTGGACTCCTAAAGGAGGACATAAAACATTTACTCCATTATAAACAGATGTTTGATTAATACACAGGCCAGATGGTAAACCCATCACTTTTATTAACAACACATAAAGGAATCCAGCAACACACAAAAACATAGGAGAATGTATGTGATAGTGTTCAGAATAAAACTCAACCTTCCACCTGTGAAGAGACGCGTGGAAACACACTCACCGGGAACATGTCTCCATTCACCGTGGCAGGCTCGTCTCCGAAGTCGTCTAGCATCATGATTTTAAAAAAAAAAAAAAGACAAAACACAAGTTTAACGTTACGATCGGCTTCTTGGAGCTTTCCAGCTTGTCTTCCTCGCCATCTGTGGCAACTTCTGCTTTCTGTTACTACTTTTGCTCTGGAAGCGAATAAGACCTGAGAAATGCAGCTGCACCTGTTTGGCCACTGATGTTGTCTGAGCTGCTTTGTTAGTTATCAGGACAGGATTTTCCAGTGAAGTATTATCTTATTTTGGTCAGTTACCACCACACAACGTTACTACATGCACTTGTTGGGTTGTAAAGAGCGTTAGTAATGATGCTACATAGCATAACTCCAGGAGGATGTTAAAATACGAACGTACGTTGTTGGTGTACAAACAAACGTCGGCTAGCTCGGCTAGCGGCTAACGTCCTGTTAGTTACGAATGAGCAGTTCTGTCAATATAACATGACTGTATTTACAACCCTAATGTATCAGCGGGTGATATCCTTTTCAACAGATGGCCTCCGTGTCTTTGTTCACTAACTACGACCGGTCCGGTGCGAGTACCGGCAGACAGCCTAGCTAGCTTCAGTTAGCTCGCTAGCCGACATTAGCTCAGTGACAAACTTGCCATAGTTGGCCGGTTGCGGCGGAGACGGCTCCTGACCCCCGGCTCCTTCCAGCGCCCCAAACCCCTCTCCGTCGTTCTCTATCCCCGCTATCTCACTCTCCTGTTGGGCCAGGAAAGCTGCGGCTGGGTCCTCTTCAGCCGGGTGTGCTCCGTTGTCAGCCATCTTTCACAAAAGTGCACAAGTTTAAACTGAGCTTGGTAGGTTAAGCTAGCTGGAGTTAAAAACCACCAAAAAAGATTAGCCCACTTGTTCTGCAACGTTCAAACAAACAACTTCAATACTTCACCCGAGTACTACGCCGGTTTTAATAAACTGCTGCCAACAACGGGGCAAACAATCACATCGTCTGAAATAAACAATCTGAGCTTCGATTTAAGGCCCTCACTGATGATTCATGATTTCTTCACTTGTTCAGCCACTGTGATGATGGAGCAGGGGCAGCACCCCGAGGGTACCAGCTCCACTTCACTGGAGTTTGTCTCCATCTGCTGCCTGGACATGCATCTTACCACAGACACACCACTGGACCAGCACACAAACAGCACTGTGTCCAGGGCATTCTGTCTCAAAGGGATGTCTGAAATGCTGGAGTTAGTTTGCTTTGCACCAATACTACTACTCCTACTAAAAATAACAACAACACCAAGAAACTTCATGCAACTCAACATGCTCACATGAAAGCTTAAAAGTCTAACATTTAAAGTTTTACTTCAGTAAAATGAGCAAAATCTGCACAAGTATAAATGACTCTTAAAAAAGGAGACACGCAATGGCTCTTATTAATGGCCTATGATTAATCAAATTTATTTATTACATATTAATGAACCATTTGTTACAGATGAAGTCCCTTACAGTCTGTCTTATCAGAGAGATTACTGTGCATTTAAGTAATGGAGCTATTTTATACTATTTATAATGTACTAGCTGGAAAGTTTCTCCCATAACAATGCATCACATTTTTAAGCTAAATATACACATATATATTTCTATATTTTAGAGACATAAATGTAAAACTTGTGTGGAAATAATTTCTATTTTGACATTATGAGTTGTGATTAAAGTAAGAACAGTATCAGCACTGGGTATAAAGTTATTCTTATGCATTAGAAAGGAAATTATAAAGATCAAAATTACTAATGAGGGTAAAAATCCCCCCAAGAATGTAGTCTGTTAAAAATAAAATAAATATAAAATCTAAAAATATATAAAAAATAAAATAAATAAATAAAAATATACCTATGTATTTACTTTTAACAGACTACAGCTTTGCTATTAAAAAAATAACAATTACAAAAGAAAAAATAAAAAAGTAAAATGTGTCCTCTAATAAAATAAAACAACAAAAACAAACAACAACATCAAAAAAAAAAAAACTTTTGCAATTAAAAAAAAACAAACAAAAAAGTTATTTGAATTGAATTGAATACAGAATCACTGCCTTCAGGAAGGTTATAGAGTTTATTTTTTTAAACGGTTTTAATAGGTGTGTCAACTTTATGATTGTTTTTGTGGGATTTATTGTTGTTTCTGTTGCTCAAAGCTGCACTCTGTAAAATAAAGAAAATACAAAAATAAAATTAAATATTTATGTAAAATAAATCCGGCAGTAAACAGCTGCTGCCAACTTTATAATTATTTCGTAGGGATTGTTCTGTGGTGTTGTTGGGTTTATTCTCCATCCCATTTTCATTATATGCAAATCAGACTAAGTTGTTTTTGTGCTCGTCCATCACTCACACACCTGTGGCCACTTATGCAGCACCGTGAGGGTCAGATTTGCACTTAAAACATCCCGGTTCTGTTAACAACAAAAAAGCCCAACATTAGATCGGCATTGTGTGTTAGAAAGCGGTGGAGATACGAAGCAGCGGCGGCTCTTTGTGAAGCTCGGCCTCTCTCGGTTTATTGCCGGCTATGAAATGAAGCCGCGGCCCATGTGACTCCTGACGTTGGAGGCGAGCAGCTAAAAAGAATGTGAGGGAACGATCCTGCGCTCACCGGGGGGATCCACGGTGGCTTCCTGACGTCCGCCTCAAGGAAGTCCGACAAAGTTGCCTTACTTTTACCCACCGACTTTTTTTTTTTCTTATTCACCCGGTACTCGCGACTGACTCGTGATGTCTGGCGAACAAGGGGAGGGACAGGAGGTAAGCTAATTAATTGAACTTCTCACTGAATTCCGTCCGAACAAAACTTTTAACGGTTCCGTTGACGGTTTTTTTTAAGCTAGCTGCTGCTGCTGCTGCTGCTGCCGCCGTGAACCCCGCTGGGCTACAGCTGTGCTAACGACTTTTGCTAAATCCAAAACTTTTTTTTTTTCTCTCTCTTCCTCCACTTTTCGTCCTGCTTCTTCCTCTTGTGTTGTCAGTTTATCCCCCGGTGGTGTTCGCAGGATTCACGGTTCACAGCTTGCTCTTTAATTATCTGAGGCAAATTAACGCCCTGGACACGTTGAAATCATTTAAAAGTAAGCTATATAAGCTCATGATTGTGTAGCTTGTTCACTTGAAAAAAAAAAAAAGAAATAAGCGTGTAATTCCGTGCATTCGAGGATAATGTGAGCTCAAATTACAAATACAAGCTCCTATAGACATAATATAGGGGTTTATAAATAGCATATTCCATAAACAGAGACGTCAATTGCATACTAGCATATTTATTTATCCCTTCCTCCATATAGTGGGTGGTGTTTAATTAACTCCAGTGCATCCAGGTTCACGGCCTTATTTCCACTGTCTTAATATAATCTGTTTAAAACAGCTAAATAATCAATTTGCAGTGTGCTGTTATCACAAGTGAAATCTAACCTCCATTACCTGTTGCTGCTGCTGCTGTGCCTCTTTCTGTGTATTGTCTTAAGCAGTCCCGTTTTATAATTGATTTTCTTTGGCTCTTGCATTTCTCAGTAAAGAGGGGGGGCAATAATATGAGAAAACTAATTTGAGATTGTTGTTCATACAATCTAGAAAGAGCACTGGAAGTTCACCAGCACATAAATGAATACAAATGAAAATGATTTCCATTAAATTAGCAGATTTGCAGGCTTTATTGATGGATCACTTGAGGTGCTTGGCGGGTTGGTTTGTAATATTTTACACTAAACTAATATCTGTAAGGACACCATAGTTTTTTTTTTATTTTTATAATATGTGAGCTGCTCTGTTGCTTTAAGAAGTTGATGTTAAAATATAATTGCTAGTTTGGTTGTACTGTGTTTCATGCCCTCCAGAAAGAATGCAGCGTTCCATGAGCTTGGCTTCAGTTGTGGCCGTCTGTCGTCTCTCTGAACTTAAAAAAAAAAAAATCCACTGACTTTAACATGGTAGGCCTTTGCCAAAATCTCGGGGTAGTTGACGTTACCTCTCTCCGTCCTCCTCTACCCCCCTCTCTCGCTGTGACTCATGTGGGTGTTGGGCTGAAATAGTTTGGTGTAGTTTTACATTCCTTATATAGCCTCTGAGGAGTGAGCAGAGGCGAGGGCTTGCCTGTGTCACAGACGGCATCGGGGGTAGGGTTTGCCAACACAGAGAGAATCTGCTTGCCCTAGCTGACTCTCTTAGCCTTCTCCAAGGTTTGGGCCACCAGCCGGCCCTTGAGGACAAGGTAGGTTTGCATTATGGCATCTTGGTTAGATAGTTGTGTGTGTGTCATGGAGAGTAATGACACCTGGTGGGACTGAGGAGGAGGAAGGGCTGGAGTTGGGGTACACGAACAGAGGTCAGGCCTTAACTCCCCGAGTAAGAGCCTGTGACATAGTCCCACATCTCAAGTTGCCTTTGCTTCTTAAAATTACCGAGCTAGTTAGTGCGTTGACAGTCAGTGTTAGTTGTGGTTTACTGGTTAAACCGCTGTACAAATGATTTAAAATATTAACAAATGTCAGAGCAAGTTTTCAGTTTCTTTACTCTTTGAATTTCAGTTTAAGAGTGAATAAACTGAGTTTCCTATATTCACATTGAAAGAAAGAGGATCAGTTTTGTTCTTGTAGACCGGTGATGCAGGTTTTTTTTTACGAGTTTCGCATTGTAGTACAATTTGTTAAACTCTGATTCAGGTTCTGTTTTGATATACTCTCCTTGGAATATGACGCAAGCGGTGTGTGCTCATTTGTGTGTTGATAAATGTAGGAATGTCGTGTCCCAGCGGCAGCTCTGGCATTTTATTGTTCTGTGTGTTAATGCAATTAGCCTAATTCCCATACCCAGATCATTATTCCTAGCAAATGGCACATTTAACAAACTGTTGTAACATAGTTCTTCTTTAAAGTTCACTTTTCGAAGTTTAAGGTTATGCACTGTGAAAGAAAGTAACTGGAATGTCATTTTCTGCGTGGAATGCGTGTGTTTGTGTTGGAAACAAAAGCAGACAAACGGCAGCGAGGTTGCTTGGATGGAACAGAAAGGACGTATGGCCTTGAAAACCTTTTCCGGGCTTTCTGGCTAATTAAGACATTTCCTTCTCTCTCTCTCTTCCTCAAGGCTATGAACATGTACTCCGTTACCCTCAGCGGCCCGGCTCCTTGGGGCTTCAGGCTGCAGGGTGGAAAGGACTTCAGCATGCCTCTCACCGTGTCAAGGGTAAGAAAATGCTTTTGGAGTCCGCTTTTGTACTTTTCTGCATCTGTGCATCTCTGAAGTGTTTGCGCTATCCTTGATGATTTGCGTAGAAGGTCATCACATGAAGCCATTTTATGCTCCTCTAAGCTTCTGTGTGAACGTCTTGGCCTATTAACAAGAGCCTTTTAGCGTTAAGTACCAGCTTGGTCATCACATAATGACCCAAGCCTGAGCATATGCGTATTATCTCGCGTTTTATTGAGCATGCACAGTCATGTAGTAAAAGAGCTTATCTGCAGACTGTGGAGTTTATTTTCATATTACTCAAATTTTAATGGCTTACATCCCAGCTCTTACCCAGTCCGTCTTCACATGCAGTCCCTTTGCATGAATAGCATTCGCTGGTCACAAGGACGTGGTGTCACTTGTTTCACAGTGCTGTGTACTCTCCATGTTAGGTCACCAACTCTTCACTGAATGAATTTTCAAATACTCCATAAACTACAGTTGCGAGTGCAGCAGCCACTTTCCAGGCCATATAAGTGCAGCGCTGCTTTGCCTGACAAACATACAGACTCACACTTGCAGCCACACGCACGCACAAAATCATTCCAGCTTTGCTGCCAGATATTGCGCACACAGATCCTGTTTTCCTTTCACATTTAGCGTTGTGTTTCGAGCTCAGGGGCTGGGCTGATCTATAAGTGTAAGACTGACTTGTGTTCATGAATTAATTCTTGAGTTTTGTTCAATGTTTGTAGCTTCCTGTTTCAGTGAGGATAATCTTGGACCCCACATGTGTGATTAACATCATGATTCATTTGAGCTCTCAGTCTTTTGTGGTTGCTAAAAGGTTGCATAGTTATAATAGAGGGGTTTTCCTGCATAGAGGAAGTTTTGACAACCTTCAAAGAGGTTTTAACCAGTGCCAAAGTAAAATCACCAATGTCCAAAATGTGAAAATTGAGAATAAAAAAAATGGATATACCTTTTTAAATCACGGTTTTAGCTGCACTAGCAAGTGGTCAGAAATAACAGGAAAATGCACGGATTTCAGTCAAATATGGTAGCACAGACTCGTTCCTTTTTACTGTCCGTGGATCAGTATGTTTACTGTGTTTTATAGTCACCCCCCAGAGGCCCATTCTGAGCCAGGAAAAACCCTGTAATTGAACATTAAGAGGAAACACAGCAATCAAATGCTCTGTTCTGTGTTGCTTTGATTAATTTGCTGTGCTTTGTGTTGTAGGTAGCATCACATTGAGGATGTGTGTGTGTGTGTGTGTGTGTGTAGAGCTGACGTAATGTTGCAGCGAGGGCAGCAGTTATCACCAGCCTTGTCAGTACATGTCTTGTATTTGCCGTGCTTTCTGGCAGACATCGCAGTAAGAAACACAATGTTCCCCTTGGATTCTTGACAAGAAACATTTTCTTCTACCCATAAAAGACCAAACAGATGTAAAAACCTCATCTGATGAATGGCCCCAAACAAAACAGGTATTCTGGGCGGGATGTAGCCGTTGACTTAGAAGAATTTCAGTCTCGACAGGCAGGTTGCACTGTTGGGTGAATATCAATGGATGACTCAGGGGTTCCAGTTGAATTATCTTGACTAATCAAGTGGTGTGGGAGGCCAGTCTTTCTGCAGCCCAGGTACATTTCGCATGCTGATTATTTTCCCTGCTGACAGAAAAATATGTTTCATATTTTCAAAGCTTTTCTCCCCCAGCGTGGTCATAAATTTTTGCCAGACTCGGGTTATTCTAAGCAGTTCGCTGTGAGATTGATATTAGCTCCATATCTGAAAACAGCCCTTCTCAGCTTGGAGCCTTAACGACTGGTCAGTGGCTAGTATTTGTTGCATGTTCCAGCAGACGCCGGGCCTCAAGGTGCAGGAGTTATAAAGATGTGACAGGCATGCTCTCTCTTTACCTCTCAGGGACTGTTAACTCTCGTTGTGATTGTCATAAAAGAAAGGACAGTGAATCCCACAGTTGGAGGGGGATGAAAACGATCCAACAAGGGGACGTAAACCTCAAAGATATACAGCATTCCTTAGTAACAGGAGGAAAAGTCAGGTCTGTACATACTGGGTGAACATTAGATGAATGTAGCGGGTGGATGGGTGGTCTTTCTCTACTGGTTCGGAGCTTATGAGATAAGCATCTCAACACAGACAGTCGTCAGTTAAAAGTGATTTACAAAATGAAGAACATGTGGAGTGACAGGACAAAAGGCTCTTCAGACACTCGGGGAAGCAAAAGAGATTGCAAATGATAGCTGCTGGAAGATCAATGCGTCTAAGTGTTTTCTGTAAAGATTAGATGACGATTAGCATTGTTTGTTTGAGACTCGGTTTCTTAAAGCTGATGTTTTTTTTTTGATCGTTTGGTCACGCTGTGGTGTAATAACATTGAGGATAGCTTTATTTTTTTTTTAATTAGTCTGTTTTTGTTGCACTGCAGATAGGTATTCTGATTATCTTTGTATTGATTTGCAGAGTTGTGGGTCTGCGACTCGTTACCTCCTGTGTGTGTGTGAGTTGGTGCTTTAGTTTCCATGCTATACAAATGTTCTTGTTTCCTTCCTCTGTCTGTGGGACTGGGAAGCTATGCTTTCTCAGCATTCCAGGGATTTTTCTCGTATCCACCCTGTTGCTGCCAACAGACAATCCTGTTGTCTCCTTTCTGTGTCTAATACGTCCTCCACACTCACTTTTCTCATACTTTTGATGGACTCCTCCGATCTCAAAGGAATACTTTCCCAGTGAGATCAGAGGAGCGATGGCCATTATTTTTAAGTCACTGTGAAAGGGAGGAAAAAACAACTTTTTGACCTTAACATAATATCTACATCCATTTATCAGTTGAGAAAATATGTACATATCTTGTATTTGGCTCATTAAATATCAGTGTTCTGCTCTGGGGGCTCAGCTTAATCTCCTTTTCGTTTCCATGAGTCGATATACACACATTTCTGATGAGTAAAATCATCAGACTGTTCATGATCATTTACCATACTGAGGGGAAAAAACTGCCAGAAAGCCTGTTTTTTATCAACCTGACATTATAAAACTGAGAAAGATGCTAGTCACAGCCATGCATGCATGTAAATAGTCCTCACTTCATGGCCATCCTCTCGACATCACTTTAACATGGGATGGATGCTGCTCGGCTTTGGTGAGCATAAATTTTTATTAGGGTTGAAAATTTAATGTTACTGGCATTGAAGTAAGATTTAAAGGGACAGTCCTGCTATTTAGCATCGCATTTCCATGAAGTTGGCGGGTTTGCGATAGACAGATTTAGAAATTGGTCAAAATTAAAGCAGCAGAGGCAGAGATATTTTCAATTGTAGTCTTATGTATGAGTCAAACTCCAGACACAAGGTCCTACATTTTCCATAATGCAGTTTGATGGGGTCTTTTGTTATGTCCTTAATGCAATGTGAATGCTGTGTCTTTCACAGTCGACATCACCAGATCGTAATGCAGGATTTCTGACATGAATTTGTAGTCTTTTTCAACGACATCATCGGACTTCTTTTCTCAGACATAGTAAAGCTCCCACAAAGCCACAGAAGACATTATTCAGATGTTTTCATGATATGAGTGAGGCTAAGCTTGACTAGTAAACAGATTTTCATGTTTGAAATCCACTTCTTTAGCCAAAAACATGTCTTGATCAGGGGAAAACTCACACTTAACTGTAAGTGGTACTCGTGTAATATAACTCTGTGGTCATGGTAATAGTGGGCCAGCTTTTGGTCGTACTTTCCTCCACATTTCCTCCTGACCTTGAGAAGATGGAGATTCACTTTAGTCAAGTTGTGTCTCTCTTTCCACATGTTTGCGCCAACATCCTGTTTCAGTAGGAAAGGCATAAAATTTAGGAAGCAAGACGTCGTCGTAATTTCATGCCGATTCAATTGAGCGCACCGCACTCTGTTGCAACCCAACAACTCCTCCGAGAGGTTTGTCCATATATCTGCCCCAGATCTCGTGCCATTGCGATTCCATAAACATTATGATACCATAACTGAGCCTCCTGAGCACCATCTGGTTCCTATCGGCGAGCACATGCCACACCACTGAAATCAATGTTCAGAGGAAATTACCAATGATGTCATGTCAATAAGCGAGCGGAGAGGTTTGTGAACGTCTCTCCACCACCACAGCTGGATGTGTCATAGAGTCTTACATTACTGTTTCTCAGTGTGTCTGACTTGGAGGCCATCTGTTGCGTTATCACTGGTATTCTCCTAAACACTCCCTCTGTCTTTCTCACCACACACACAGACACACAAACTCTGGGAAAGGAGGCCCGTTAGAGGGCTGAATTAATAATTCAGTATGTGCTGATAGATTGGCCGCAGGGGGCATTTCTTCTGCTCGGATGTAAATGTCTTGTGTTGTGAGCAGTGTTTTAAGGTGAGTTAGTGCTAGGTGTTCCACTGCAGTCATTACAGGGGGACCACATACTTGCAGGTTTGGTTTTCCATTTCTCAGAGTGATATTTATGGCTTTGCATCAGCTGCGCTGTGTGAGTGATGTAAGGACAGACTGTCTCTCGGCCCCCAAATAGCCGTGGAAAGAATAAAAGTGAGCTGGTGCAGAGTTACTTAGCCAGTATATCACCAGCTGCAGATAAACTTTAGCGCATTATTAGTTCAAACAAAAACAAGCGGCTGCGAGCCAGCATGAGGCCCTGGCTCACCTGTAAGGCCACTCACCAGGAGCCCTTCAGAGGTGAATTCAAGGCATTGCAGTTTGAAAGGTTGGCTAATACTTTGAAATGTGATAGCATACCAAAACAGCTCTGACACTGTGCTCTGCCAAAAAGCCTTGAAACATACCAGTAACTGTTGACTTTGGTGGCCATCCCTGAAGTTGTGAAGACTTTATGTTGCACAAACGTGATGCCATACGAGTGAATCACATTTGCACCAAATGATGTGTAACATGACGAACCTGCTTCTCGCTTGTATACAAAAGGAATTGTCAACATGCTATCTTTGTGATATGGCTACACCATCATGTTAAATCCCGTGTAAACGACGTGTTTTGCAAGAACAAGAACATGTTTTGCACTGTCCTTCGCTGTATTGACAAACTGCTGGAGGGAGGAGGACGAGGTGGGTATAGGGTTTCTGTCCGCCCCCTACCAACCAAAGGTCTGAGCGCAGCAACTTTAACTGCTGCCTTTTCAAGTGAGGGAGCAGCTGCACTCTGAACCTGAGCCAGAAGCACAGGTGTCTATGTCCATCAACACAACCCGCATAGACACACATGCACGTAAGATGCAATCTGCAGGCTTTATAGCTTTGTATATTTACTTCTTCTTTTTGATATCACAGCACATTTAAAAATCTGCAATACACACTATAATGGTGAGGTAGTTGTAAAGTGTCTACATAAAGTGCTGGACCACCATGACCCCTCCAGAACATCGTCGGTGCTCCTTGGCAAATGTTTTTAAAATCTCTGAAAGTCTCCTGGAGGTATAAATAGCATTCTTTAAAAAGATATTTATTTATTTTGTTCTGTTGATGGTGTTGGAGAGCACTCTTGACTCTTTCCATTGCACTTGCTAAATCGCTAAATGTACCTCTTACAAGGAGCTTCTCCTTCTTCAAGAAAATGCTGGGGTTTTATTCTAGGCCGCATTTGTATTTACCACTATCCTGGCTAACCTTTGAATACCGCTGCTTTTGAGTGGAGTGTTAACTTTGTTAGCAGTAAACATCCCCCATGAGACTTTGACAGTGCTTCTGTGGTTTAAACTAATAGGGAATATTGTTGTTTAATACTAATTAAATAATTGTTTTATGTGTGCAAAATTATGAGATGGTGAAGTTTTACTATCCAAGAGACTAGAAATAAAGGAGGCAGGATTGCAGCTCCCTGTAGAGAACCTCGGTGGCGTTATGCCAGACTATGGCCCTTTTCTCAGAATCTGTCACATGCGTCCAAGTCTACTTGTTTTTCTCTAGTGTAAGCTGCTAAAACTCTTTGAAGTTCTTTCTAAACTGGAGAAATTATTTCTTTCTTAACCCCTCTAATTGCTTCCAGTGAGTGCAAATCAAAGGCAATTAAAGTGATGTTTGAACTTGGCTGTAAAATATGTGTAACTTGGACTGCCTCAGAGGAATGCATTACTTCCTATTTTTAGCTTTGCCATGTTTTGATTCAAGACCAGCTCTAACGTCGCTGTCTTTCCGGGGATGCAGAGTAGTTTTTCCAGCCAGAGCTGTCATCAGTTTACGGAGTATATTACCTCCCCGCTCGCACAAGTGTTTATGTTTAATGTGCAGAATCAAAGCGGCAAGTGCGGTGGCTTAGCTGAACATGGCAGAAAACTATTGATTGAACCGCTGAGTCCTCTGAGCTTTTGATGAGCTAACATTTGCAGGGATCCGTGACATCAGAGAGTAATCCTAATAGGGTTTTTTTTTTTTGTTGTTGTTGCCAGAAATCCTGGCACTCGCTCACTTATCTGATGCTGAACACTTTGTTCTCCAGTTATCTGAGAATTTGACACAAGTCTCGAGTTTCATTAAGCCGCATGGGCAAGCTGACTAAGCCCTTACTAAACATGATTTGGCATCTCTGCTCTGGATATTAGTGGCGTTAGAGGACATGGCAGACAGTGCATTATGTGCACTTGTGCAAAAAAACATTACTGCCTGTATAGACTATGTCAGGTTCTTCTTGTTGTAACAAGACTCCAGCTCTGACTCAATATGTCTGCGGTCTCCATGACAATATGACACGATGATGTCATTCTTTTGTCAGTCGGTGACTTACCTGGGGGAAAAAAGTAGATGGTTCGTTCCAGTAAATGATGTGACTATTGGTAGCATATGGTCTTTGTCTGCACCTATCACGAGTTTGTCTCATGCTCTTAAATCACATCTGCAGTAAATCATATGCTGCTGACTGATGACATCATGGTGACCCATAGTGCCTCTTCCTGGTAGCGTTGAGTGAAGCAGACCCGGAGACACTCAGACTCCCCGACTTGATGATTAAGTGTGAGCAGACATTACCGCAAAGTCATCAGAACGCAATATTTCGTCTTTAAATGTCCTTCATTTTGCTTTGAACTTCTGATATGTATGAGATAATGGTGGGCTGTGTTGGTAGACAATGAGGTTTTAAGTTCCCTGTGGCCTGATGACTGGAGCATGAACTGATGATGCAAATATTGCAGAATCTGATCTAATTGGTCAGTTAAACTATCAGCATTGTGGTTTTTGTAGTTACTGAAGTGATACAACAATGCTCCTTGTTTCTGTTATCACTGCCTTCTCCCTTTTCTGCACAGTGTTCTAAAGCCTGTCTAAATAATTTCGTTTTCTTCTCCTGTAGCTGACGCCGGGTGGAAAGGCAGCTCAGGCCGGTGTCGGAGTGGGAGACTGGGTGGTGTCCATCTGTGACGCCAACGCCGAGGACATGACCCACGTGGAGGCACAGAACAAGATCAGAGCAGCAACAGACTCCCTCACCCTCACCCTCAGCAAGTGAGTCGTCTGGTTATGCATGATGCAACCAAACGCTACATGATCACTCACCCTCCATTTAATCTCATTCAAACAGCAGCATAAATTTCCACACAACACGCACCCTCCTGCATTCTTACTTGGCCGCGATGAGATAAAATAATGTCCTTGAAATTTGCCCCAATATGACAGATAGCTGGAAAATACATTAAAATTATCATTACACACATTCCATTATTTTACTTCCCCAAGGCTTAAATTAGTTTTAGATTTGGACCTGACTCAAATTCATTTTTACTCCAAAGTCATAACCCCACTAGTTTATACTGTGGAAAAAAGTAATTATTTCTGCCAGGGAGGTTATGTTTTTGATCCTGTTTGCCTCTTTGGCTGTTACAGCAGTTAGCAGAATATTTCAAGAACTACTGAGATTTCAGTGGGATTCGGTTACTTCATGAGCCAAAAAAGAACTGCAGGTGCAGATAGAACTACAATATGGCAATTTACAAAGCATTTTCTGCCTTTGCTCATCAATCCTAAATTGTGAGGTTTAGATGAAAAAACAATTTTCCCAGACTCTTGGTGTGACCCATATCTTTCCTGAAGGTGTATCCAATTCCGCCTACACAGATAAGACAGTTTTACAACCTGCAGGTTTATTACTCCCTCTACAAACTTGGAACTGTGAAAAGCATATTTAAGTGGTCAATTTTTTTTTCGTGTTTTTTTGTGTGTGTCCCGTGTCCCAGAAATGTTTGTTAGTATGGACTAGTTGAAACAAACTACTTATTAGTGCCTTGTGAATATGTATCTACATTCATGTGACAGGTGCACAATTCAGCCTGGAGTGATCCTGCAAACTCTGATTGCATTCTGCTTAGAGGTGCAGTCAAGTACAATGACTATAACTCAGTGGTCACTAATTCTACGAACTTGAAAATTTGCACAATTGAACCGCGTACATAGCAGCTATTTCCAGGAATTGAAGTGTTCTCAAAAAATTCTGCATTATTGTCCGTCACTGCGCGTGTTTTGATGCCGGTTCAAATCGTGATGCAGGTTAATAGCCTCTCAGCGTTATCATTTATTAAAGTAATCAGATGATTGTGTGATACTGGCAGACACACACGCTCTCTGAATCCTTTCTAGCTTACATTTATCAGTAATATTCTGTAGCAAGAGCAGGAGTGGGTAGTCTGCACTTAGCAGCAGATATGCATGCCAGCTGCTGTGAGTGGATATACTGGCTTTTGTGTTCTGTTCAAATAAACCATTTTCAAGACAACCTTGGGAACCTTACATTAGGCCTCAACTTTGTAATGAAATTAGAGAAACTTTCTTCAGATTAAAACACTTTGTCGTTAAGTGCGAGCCAGGAAAATCAGTTTTTCTTTAAAATTTTGCTCAAGTAATTTTAATTAGCACTGAATAACCTTCCTATAGGCAGCACTTATACCTGCTCAGAAAGCTACCACCAGAAACTCTTGACAAACTATCTCTGTAGAGTCGAAGCCAAAATGCTTCATCAGGAGCTTAATTGTAAGAAAAAGATTTTTTTTTCCCAAAAGAAAGACGAAATGTAATCATTCAAGAACCTAAAACCCTTCAGAAAATGAGAAGGTATTGGCTTGTTAAGTAATAAAGATGAACCTGCCGCTGTCATGGGACTCATTTTAATTTTGTGATCCTCATAAGTAAAAAAGAAAAGAGCTGTTTTATCTTGTTCACTTTATTGTTGCCTGCCAAGAGACTCGGCTTTTCAATTCTTACAGATCTTCTTTATTCACTTTACGTGGCTGTCCAGAACTCAGAGCAGTAACAGTTTCAGATTTAGCGATCCAGCTGAATGTTTGCTGCATGTTATTTAATATATTAAATGAAATTTCGCTACTCTGACCACAACATCCAGACTGCCTGCCCATTTTTACTTCCTTATTTGTACTGTGTTAATTGGGGTTTTTGCAACATCAAAGCGAGGGGGCAGAAAACATGTATTTCTTAGTTATATAAAATAGAGATGCAATGATTGGTTGATTAATCCATCAGTGGACTGACAGAAATCTGCTCCGTGTGAAAGCTGAATAATAATTTTAAGCAAAAAAATACCAATCACTGGTCAGTTTCTGTTACTTAGATGGGGAAGAGTTGTGCTTGTTTGTGTCGTATATGATCGTAAGCTGCATGTCTTTTGGTTTTGGGCTGCAATTTTCTGGCATTTCATCAATAAAATGTCCAAACACTTGCATGGTAGGTTTACTGGTGATTCTAATTTGGCTGTGAGTGCGCATCTTGTCCGTCTCCTCGCGTTAGCCCTGCGGTGGACTGGCAAACTGTCCTCATCTCTCATGGAGATTGAGAACACATTTTTTGATTGTGGTGTTTCTGCTGCTAGTCTTGTGTGTAAAATGAAGTTTTATGTTATTTTTTTTTTCTTCATAAAGCCAACAAAATGTACTCCTGATATATTTTTTCGGTGCAGAAACAAAATAAAAAAAACGATTTTCCCCTCTCGCCTTTATCTCACAGGGAGTGGTGTAATATTTTGATAGACCTGTAATAAGCCAGCATGTTTACTTAACACCAGCCATACTTCTCCTAGACTCTGCGGTTTGCCTCCTCCATTTCTCATCTCCTTGTGGAGTCCAGCTATTGTAAACATTTCACATTCTTCTGCTCTTCTTTTTTTTTTTTCTTTTCTCCACCAATGACTCCCTACCCATGAATCCCCAGCCTCCTCTCTTCATCTCACCCCGTCCTATTGTTATTATATTGTAAGAAAAGCAAATATTGTTTTCCTGAAACACTTCTCAGAGAGGGAGCGATTGTCAGTTTTATTTATTCGTATCTTGGCTGCCATCCACAGTTCTTTTATGTCAAGAGAGGAGGACAGCTGCACGGTGATGAGATATGGCCTATTGTTTGGTTTAGTGTCTCATTTTGTTCAGCACCAATGATCATCTTGTGTCTTTTTTTTTATGGGAAAGGTTTAAGCTTTATCCAGAGCCTTTTATAGGGAGCGGAATCCAAAAAAATATGGGCAATAGATTTTCAGCTTCAAAGGAAGGAGATCATGCCGCACCTACAGGGACACATTAGGTCCGTATTTCAGTGTTTCACTGACAGTGATTGGCCTACAGGGTTGTGGTTGGAGTATTTCGCCGATGTGTGAAAAGTTGATTACAGTATCATGGGAGAGGTTTTTTTTTTCTTTTCTTTTGCGATGAAATTTCTGGCTTTATCTAACATCAGCTTGGAAGACAAGCACGCATCAGCTAAAATAAGTGATCCATGAAATAAGGTAGGAAATGATCTCATGCAGTATGCATATAGAGTTTCAACACGGGTCAAACTCGGCCCAGGCAAACTAATTTCTTCCAAGAAACGGCGACTTAATCAACTCCACATTTGTTCGTTTAAGTCCAACGTGCCAAAATGCAGAACAGAACAAAAGTACAGTAACAGAACAGCAATCGCACACATTCCTTACGTCCCCGGTTTCATGTGTGACTCATCAAATTGTGGGTTAACGTAAGCTCAGGCACTATGAATGTCACATTGATTTGTCTTCCCAGAAACGTGACATGTACAGACATGCCGGTATGCCCTCCCTTCACTCCTCTCTCTATCTAGTCAGCCCTGTTGTCACTCTGTCTTTAACGTCGCTCTATCAGAGGTTAAGCAGGCGGTGGCATGAGCGCCTCTTCATTTTGTCATTGTCACAGGAAGTGCTGCCCATTGTTTTGTGTCTGATTACAGCCTGAAAAAATGAGGGCGACTGCAGGGCTGCTTCACTCTACTTTAACCATTCCATAACCTTGTGCAGCATGCAAACATCGGCCGTGATGGTAGTGATTTATGTTTGGTTATTTATGGTGCCGACAGCAATGTAAAGCAGGGCGCCTCCATTTTTAATGTGTAAAGATATTTTAACGAATGTCATCCCGTGTTGCTTCAGTCAGCAAAGGCACTGCAGTAATGCGATTCCTGGGATTAGAGTTAAGAAGTGTACGACGTTGTGGCGGCTTCGTGGGTGAATGTGCGGACAGTTCTGGAAAAGTAGTGACATTTTGATGTGTGTGTGGTAGAAAAACGCAACTAGTTTTTTTTCTTTACAAGTTTGTCCCATTATATCTTTCACCTGTACCATGCTGCTGGTGAAGTGTTCAGATGTAGGATGTAGAAAATACTACCAAACAGTCCATTTTACTCGTTATTTAAACCACATTTTTACATATGAAAACAGTGTTGAAGTTATAATCCAAACTGTCAGTTGTAAATACTCTGAATCCTTTATATTTTATACGCACTGAATATTTATAACTGATATTCAGAATGCCTTCTCTTTCATTCAGGCATCGGAGGAGTTTAATAATATTAATAATCAGAATTTGTGCAAGTTATTACTGAACTCCTATAAGCCATTTACAGTGTTGTGTGGGATTTCATGTATTGCTTTATCTTTCACCTTGATTAAAACTGGTACCAGCGTGTTCAGACTATATTTATCACAGATTTTGCCGGTGTAATTTAAGTGCAGTAGAATGCGGAATATTAGAAAATGTCACGGTGTAATTGTGTGTCAGAAATAGTGTTGCAATATTAATTGTGAATAAATTGGAATAGGCATTTTTCTGTATAATCTACTCATACGTTGTTTTGTTAATATAAAAACATAGGAAAGGAGATTTAAAATAGCAGCATCTTGTTCAGGAGGCTGCATAAGCACAACTCCAAATTGCAACTTTGCTTATATAGTAATAATACGCAGTGTTTTTAATGAAACAAAGTTTTAATGACTGCCTTTCTTTTCTGTCTTTAGAGCTTTCAAAGCGGGTGGAGACCAGAAGGTAAGACTGAAACACTGAGCTCACCTCTGTAGGAACACCTGGATGGTTTGGCATGGTCCACCGTGACACTGAATTTGAAACTTCCCTTAAGCGTGACTCACGATTGGATTCAACAGTCTCTTATGTCACTTTGTGTTTAAATTCATCTGAATCACCTGCGTTGCCAAGTTCTCACAGAGTCCATGCACTGTGCATTAGCCAAGCATCAGTGAGTCGCTAAATGAGTTGTTTGCTGGATGGAGTGTTGTGAATGTTGCTTTTGGAATTTCCTGTAGGTTATTTTGTAATGCCTTGCACAATCCCTGATAGCAGATAAGTACTGATGCATTTGGTTTGTCAAGCCTCGAGAGAGCCACTTGTCCAACTGATTAGTTTTAATAGTACAATCGTGTCATGAACTGCTTTGTGCTGCACGCTGTTTATAAGCAGCTGGCACATGATACAAACACAAAGTCAGTGTTCCATTTAAGTAGGTGTACTTCTGCAGTCCATGCATAATGCTCAGTGCAAAATCTCATTAGTGAGACATGTCAGTTATATATGACAGTTTCTTACTTTGAGCATTTTCATTTTACCAGCAGTAGCAGATTACTTTGGCCAGTCCTTGGCTGACTGCCAACACAAATAAAATGGCTGTGTTCACACTTCTTAAGCACTTCTTCCATGTAGAGAAAAGCCTTCAGGCTTTGACAGAGCTGCTGCTGCAGTACGGAGTAATCATTTGCTATGAGAAAATATTGGCCTGCAATGGAGAAGCTTGGGATTGTGCAACAGCCGAAGGAACTTTTTGTGCGTGTCAAAAAATGTCTAACTGCATGTCGTGCACTGTGCTGCATTGTCTCCTTCTCCCACACCCTCACAGGACTCGCTTGCTACGGCTTCTGTTCAGCCAAAGTACTCCTTTGCCCCAAGCACAACCATTAACAAGATGGCGAGGCCATTTACAGCAGGTGGTGGTAGTGCCAACTCAGGACCTGCTATTAAACCTGTGGCCTACTCGCCTAAACTTAACACTCAGCGCTCACAAGGCCAAGCCAGTACACAACAGCCACAGAATGGGTAGGTGGATAAATAGACACTATTGCCTTTGGAACCGCAATGTGACTAATGTGGTTTTAATGGTATTTCTGATGTCTCATTATTCTGCTTTTACACTAAAGAGAAAATAACTCCTTTAGGATTTAAAAGAATTTACTTCAATCACTGCTGCCGAATATTGCCAAAAACTTGTCACAGAAAAGATAAATATAACAAATGTATGCTGACTCACCGCAGAGATCAACTGAATAACTCTGCCAATAGTTTAACACACAAGATGGCAAACATAAAATCCTTTTTGTCAAAACTTGCGCTATTGCCAGACACACCAGCAGTAAGGATAAACTGACATTATAGATTGTGTAAAGATAAACTGTGGCGTTATTAGCATATGTGGGAATATGTAGCTGAAATACACAATTCAGGCTCCAGCTGAAAAACCTCTCCAGTGGAATTATCCGATGACAGAAACAGAGGTTAGTGATAGATGTGCCAATAATCAGTCACAGTTTTATGGGCCTGTAAACTCTGTTTGTGTTTTTTGGCCACTGTGGATGTTATGATTTATTTTAGTGACTATAGATTTTTTTTTTTTTTTTTTTTCCAATCGAATTTTTTGTTTTTATTCTCCTCACTGTGCGTGTATGACTTATTTTGTGGAGATGTAATCTGTTTACTCTGTCACATTTTGGAGGAGATGCATCCCTTTTGGAGACAAAAGCAAGCCCCTATGATATAAATCTTTAGTACGAAGACTTATGGTAAGGTCAGCTCTCGGTAGCGACAGAAAGAGCAGGCCAGCAGTAGTTATGAATAGAGTTAAAGTAAATCTCGATTATATTAGCAAGTCCTCTGAAGTGTTGTGTGTCTGAAAGAAGGGAGGAGAAGATTACTGCAGCAATATTTTGTTTTAAATGTAAGAATGCTTCACACAAAATAGAACATACAATATATTTTATGCAATATGTTCTTGCAAAAGCTCTTTTTCGAATTTGTTATTTTAACAGATGGGCTATTGACCGACTGTGATTATTGTGTCTTGTGACTTCAGTTGGTAGTACGCTGGAAAGAAATGGAAAATAATGGATTTTTGAGTTCATGAAAATACTTTAAAACTTACTCTTTGAACTAAGTATTATTTTTCCACTCGTAGTTGCGAGGTCGTTCATCATCGTATTTGCTTTGTAGACACTTTGGTTGCTCTTTATAACAAAACCATCACTACATCAGTAAAAGGGGAAAATTTAATCACCTCCTTATGTGCATTACGCTTAAAAACAATTCACTTTAATGGTGAGCTCAACTGAAATTGCCTCGCAGTTTAAATTTGCAATCTCTCTGTCAACATTTACTGAACTGCAGAAATTGCAGGACCGCACAGCTGTTTTTTATTTGTTTACATTCAGGGGTGATGAAAAACTTTGATGGTAGTGCGAGTAAATTTATGAATGAATAAAATTTAATGGTCCAAAAGTTTAAAAACTTAACAGAGAAATCTGGTGTCCCTCAAATACATATTTGATCAGTTGTATTGGAAAAGTGAAGTTTCTCCTTGAAAACTTCATCGATCAGTTTGTCTTCTAACTTATTTTGGTAGTTTTTATTTTATCACTCAGTTTGAGATTTTACAAGGATTCTGGAAATCTATATTTTAAACATATTTGAAGTCATCCTGAAAGTGGCAGCAGGGCATGAAATGGTCTTCCAGGATAGACCAGTCCAGCTCCTGTAATTTGGGTCATGCCAGAGCTCTGACTGCAACCACTGGTGAGATGTGGTCTGTTGCTATATTTAGTCTTGCTCATAAATTCTGCTGGGTTCTCACACAGCTTTTACTGCCCTGGTGCGCTCCCTCTTTTTTTTTTTTTTTTTTTTTTTTTTTTAAAGCAACCTCACTTGCCTACTCTAGAGAGGCTTTTGGAGTTTCTCTCTTGATGGCCACATTCCCCCACTCAACTTTAAAAAGAGCTGAGCTTAATCATAACTGTCAGCCCAGTTTGGGGAAGACATTGTTGGGTTCTCCACAGAAAGCAGTTCAGTGCAAACAGCACGAGTCTGATGCGTCTGGGCCTGACGTATTAAAACAGGTTTTGTGTTATGTTGTTTGTACAGAGCTTACACTGACAATGCGTCACTGCCGTGGCATTTCTGATTATTCACCAGGTATCTGAGCACAAGTAAGATTTCACTGAGAGCGGTGGCACAGAAATTACTTTGACTTTTTTTTTGGCTACAGCTCCATTCATTTACATAACTCTGTAAAGCATTTGTGTTCAGGGACAAGAGGAGCAGAACAGCAAAGGTTCTGTGCCAGCCCACTGAGTCATTTTGGGTCAGGGTGACAATAGATGATTTGACAGACAAACAATGCTGTCCTTCTCTCACGGAGCCTGTTGACAATAACCGCATGTCTCGTGTCACCTATCGCATGCTTTCTGCATTTTGCAGTTTCTCTGATCTTTTCTTGTGCACCACCTTTTGTCATGTATTGACATGTTCTGTTTCTTCTTTTCCCCAAAAGCTGAACTCTGACCCCTTTCTCTCACTTTGTGTTTTCCTCTTTACTTTTAACTCCACAGGTGGAAGCTCTTGACAAGTTAGTATATTTCTTTCTTTTTATTTGCAATCCAGTGTAACATGTGAATTGCTTGTTTGCCTTTTAACTCCTATATAGTGACGTGCAACCTTTTTAGACCTCTCAAAACAAAGCAGTGTACACTTGTGACCTCATGGATGGTCTATCTTGATTTTTAAAAAGTGTTGTTTTAGGCTCACTTAACTTAAATGTATCCCACAATTTACAACAAAATGCAAAGATTAGAGAGTCTAAAAAGAGATTTCTCCTTGCAACCCTTTGTCTGGGTCCCTGTCCTTTCAGAATTGGTGCCATTATTTCCTCATATAATCTGTTCGTTCTTTATATTGGACAACACTAATAATCCTTTAATCTTCTGCTGTTTATTTACTTCCTCTCTATCCTCTCTCTCTTTAAGTCGTTATTTGATCTTTGGTCTATTCCACAGGGGTGAAGCAACTTACTATGATGATATCTACCAAGTGTCCAAGTAAGGGGCAGCTGCATGCTGGCTGGGTTGTCAGTGCAGTAGGTTATTACCATCAGGTTATTTGTGACATGAGAGAAAAGCCGATTTTCTTTGGTAGATCCAGTGATTGGGTTTGCATGACAGAGACAGCAGTTCATTAGTGACTGTTCATCTTTTATCCTCTCCTTGCTTGTTGGTTTTTGCATGCTACATTTGACCTACAGCTGTGCTGAAAAGACATCTTTTGAAATGACAAGTTTTTGTTATGCGGCTTCTTAAGTTGTTTGTCAAAAATACAAGCTTAATTAGGTAGAAAAAACTTTGCAGAAACAAGACAAGGTGCTGAAGCCTGTCAGCTTCTTTTTTCTCCCATTGATTTTAATGACAGTTATAAATATGATTTCTAATGCGATAATGTCAATTTATGAGGCTCTAGAGTGTGCCCATGAGAAATCTTGGTAATGGTATCCATTAAGTTCTCTTATTGCGTGACACTAAGCGTTAAGTATTGCATGATCTGTTCAGGCTGTCCCCTATTTTCAAGGTCACCTGATGAGTGAGTGAGTGTTTGAGTGGGTGGGTAGGCCCCAGATGGGATTGTGTTAACCACGCCTGCCGTGTGCTGCTGCTGCTGCTGCTGCTGCTGGCTGTGTGTGCAGGCACGGCCTCAGGGTGGAGAACATCCCCTGTTTTATCCCCAACGACCGCAGCAAGAAGAGGCTGATCGAGGACACTGAGGACTGGCAGCCCCGCACTGGCACCACCCAGTCGCGCTCCTTCCGCATCCTCGCCCAGCTCACAGGCACCGACTTCAGTAAGTCAGGGCCTAAGACAGGCATGACAGAGCGCGATAAGTTGGGGCAGGCCTCTCTGATAATCTGTAGAAGGACAGCCTGTTGGAGTTGTTCTGATCATAGAGATTATCAGTGTGAGTGACACAGGAAAGTCAGATAGCAGGTTTGTCCATTTTTCAGCTGTGGAAGAGGTTACTGACAGTGTGACGTATCAGCTAAACACAGGAAGAAACGGCACCATTAGATATAATGAATCACTTATTATGTGTTATCTTTGTGTGTCATCAACTGGATGCTTGTCAAAAGCCAGTCGTAGGTGTGTGTGTTTTAATCAGAGAGGCGTTCTGATGTGTGTCTCTCCTGAAATTCTCAGTGCAGGACCCAGATGATGAAACCATGAAGAGGTCCAGGTAAAAGCCTGAGTGTCACTAATCTGAACAATCACAAGTGTTTGTGTACTCATGTGTGGAAGCTTCAGTTTGGCAGAAATATCTCAACGTTTTGAAAGCTACCTCTGGTTATTTTAGCGATTTCACTGCGTTAAATGCCGGCATGGACGGTGTGATTTTACACCAGCCTTTTGCATTTTATAGTTATAAATGGTGTGGTCTGAATATTAGTGCAAGAATGTGCAGAATGGAATAATTTAATTTGACATTTAATTTGCTTGTTTGCTGTGTTGCTAAAATTTAAATGAGAAGATTGATGCTGGTCCTGTGCTTTTTTTTGCTTTTGTTTTGGTGATAAATGCGTAGCTGGAGCCAGCAGCCAGTTAGCTTGAGCCTAAGTTAAACTAAATCAATTCATCTGCATCTATCTGCATCTATATCTTGGCTGCGTGCATTTTATTCCTGGAAAGGACTTTGCCTTCGATGAAATGACCAATCACATTATCTGTAAAAAATTCTCTTACAGATTAAACAAACAAGATACTGTATGAAGAGTTTTTGTTACCTTTGAACAGAGTCAAAACAGCAGTTTCTCTGTTTCTAGTCTTTGTTGAATATGAAGCTACAACTAGTTTGTTTAGTGCAAACAGATTTAAATGTTCTCATCCTAACCAAGAGAGCGAATAAGCATTTTCTTCATTTCTTCTATGAAATATTCATTAATATTATCTCTGCAGACCTGTCATTTCATTTTCCTGTACATACTTTTTCATGTTTTATTCTTCTTCTTCTTCTTCTCCACGCTTTCATTTTGTGCACTTTACTCCACCTCCTGCTCTCTCCTGCTTGTTTTATTTATTGTCTCCCCTGCAATCTATTCCCTCCTTGTCTATCTCCGTTTCATATCTGTGTTGCCTGTGGTCAGGGAAAAGTTCCTCACTGAGATTCAGAGTCCCCGCTATGCTCGTCTGAGGGATTGGCACCACGACAGGTCCGCTCGCGCCCTCAATATCAAATCCTGAGCGACACCCTAGACGTCCTGGGACGCAGAGCCCAGCCAGAGCCTGCTAGCGATAGCCACACCGCAACGACTACGTGACAAAGACGACGAAGATAGCCGACTGTCGAATGGCAGTTCACAAATTCACCTTTCAGATACAGATGGGCTGACAAAGAAGTTTGGGGAAACAAAGAAAAGCAAACTGAAAATAGACGAAGCATAGCCTAGATGACAAAGCCCAAAGTGGAACCTTGCATACTGAGCCTAAGTGTAAGATCTCCCTCTGAATTTCTGACTTGATGATTGTTGACAACACTGTGGACCACTGTGTCTGTAGCCCTGTTTTCCATTTCACACAGCGTTACTTGGAGTAAACTGGTGGGAAGGTGGGAAGGGGGGTCTCAGCAGTGGGAAGCGCCTTTCTGTTCGTTATTCTTCTTTGATTGTGAAGTTCAGACCCTCCTTTGATCTCTCTCTTTCTCTCTCTCTCTCTCTGCCTGTTTACATATTGAGTTCTTCATCCTTTTAAAGTTTTCATTTCTGATCCCCTCATCTAATAGGCTTCTCCAACCATTAAGAAAAAGAAAAGATAAATCTGTACTTTTGTTTTTTTCTGCTGTCATCAATAATATATAAAATATAAAACATCTGAAAAAAGCAACTCTTGTTCCTCTGTCCTTTTCTTCTGTGTTTCTTTTCCTCTTGTTTACTCGGTAGCAAGCTTAAAAGGATATATTCCCTGATAACCAACTATTATATCCTCCTTTTTTTTCCCTTTTAGCTGAGCCACAACTCTAGCTTTACTTACCCAGTGTACTGAGGAGGAATGATTATGTAGAAGCAGGGCTTTTCTCCGTATTTATGCAGGTCTGAATTAATGGAGTGTCTTCTAAAAGATCAGGGTTCAAGGTTTTCTTTTATTGCCCCAGAGAGAAAATTGTTGTGCGTTCAGGCATAAAAACTACAAATGGGCATACACGTAACGTAATACACATTCAGAAAGTGCAGAGGTAAACAGTAAGGAAATGCAGCCTTTAGTCCGTCGCACATGCTTGACATAAAAATATCTAAGAGTGTTTAAAATGTAATGAAAAAGATCAACATTACCATATTCATGCTCTGTCAAGTAGGTGCTGCAGTACAGAGGCCCTGCACTCAAGACTTAGACGATGATTCGTTTTGTTAGGAAACAACGTTTCAGCAACACCAGCTTTTGATTGGAATCGTGTACTTTGTTCAGGGGGATAGAGAGCATCTGGTTCTGGAAACCATTCAAAAAACCTTCTCTGTGGGCAAGATTAAAAATGTGCTTTTTTTTCTTTTAGATGGCCAGGAAAAAAAAATGTATGATGGGTTCTAGTTTTAAGGTGATACTGCCTAATGGTGTGTGATCGAAACATGTGAGCAGATCCTTGGCAGGTGAAACCTGAAAGCAGTAATGAGAATATGAGCAGAGGAGGTGAATAAGAAGGGCTCCGTCTTACACAGTTAGAAAGTATTATGAATTTCATGTTAGTGATGAACTGTTTCAATGTAAAAGACACAAGAAAACTACAGTCATTGTTTGTTTGTTTTACATATTGTAAGCTAAAAATGACAGTTATGTTTTGGCTCTAATTTAGACTGATTCTGTTACCAGATCTAAATGTAAATAAAGTGACCAAGGAGGCAAACCTAGTAGAAACCTGCCCTGTATCAAGACAGCAACCTCATCACATACTCTTTGTCATATTTGACAAGTTAGGAGTAAAGCATCAGAACCACAGAGACAGATTTCAGCTGATATCAGTAGGATTGTAGTAGGAAAAAAGAAATGACTGCAAAAGAGTAATTTTACAAGCTGAATAATAGCCACATTCAGTGAATATAAAGTTGAAAATACCCCCCAAACCAGACATAATCAACTAAATTCTCTACACTATTTGCAAAATTGTAGTTGTCTTTATACTAAGTTACCATGTAAGCAACAAGACAGAAAAAGGCAATAAAGATGGAGCTGTTTGCAAACGTTACAACCTGAACAGCCTGTAAAAAATGCAACCTCCCTGCCCTGTTAGGCATGTGCCACCATTGTTTGACATTTCTGTTGTCAAATTCAGGCTCTTGCAGTGCAGCATTATCCTCAGCTCCTCACTGGGTGGAGGGTGACATATGTCAGTGGCTTCTTGCTCCGTGAGAAATCAAAACCTCCTCCTTTTTTCCTCTGCCGGATGCTGAGCTGCCAACAAACTCCTCTGTTTTCCTCGTTGCTCAGGTCGATGCATCCCACAGGAGTGGAAGCTAAAAAAACCAGAGGTGAATCTGAAATCAGAGGTGCAAAGAGTGAACAGGAAAAGTGAAAGGAAACGTTCCACGTCAAAGGCAAAAAAAAAATAAAAATCCTGTCTACAGACTGTGATGCAGGAATTGTGCACCTGCATCACATCAAGCCTCTTGCTGAGCAGAGGCAGGGAGGAGGAGGTTGAAAGCAGGGAAAATGTCAAGAAAACATGATCCAGGCCGCTCCAGGTGGGAAGAAGCCGCTGTGGAGGATGTGCTCCAATTTGCACCTACAACCGTCACCTTAGTGAGGTGCAACAAATGAAACCTCTCAAAGTTGTGTGAGAAGGCTGTGCCATTGGCCTGCTGCCATGTAGGGCAGCATGGCAAGGGGATGCAGGCAGGGTCGCAGTGTTGACTAGGATGCTGTTTTGTGAGTTGTTAGGTGGGGTCCCTGAAGGCAGGCTTGTCGGTGAGCAGAGCACAGGCCAGCTGACCCGGGCTTTGTGTGTCAAACAGGCTGAAACAGGCTCTGTCCTCCGTTTGACCCGGCCGCCAGAGATCCTTCTTATCTCGCTTCTCGCTTCCCTTCACTTGGTTTTTTTCTGTAGTTTCTCTGCAAAAACACTCCTCATTGGGGGGTCTTACCTTCCCTTATTCAGAAAGCTCTGATTTCCTCGCTGTCACCAGCCGTGCAAGCCACTGTCTGACTATTGCAAAGGGATTTAATGTCCTTTATTATTCAGACTACGCTAGTCTGAAAAGTGTTTTCATTCTTCTTTTTGCTAGATTGCTTCCAGCTCTAAATCTGCAACTTCTCCTGCCTGTATAACTTTTTTTTCCCAGTGTTTAGTTGTTTGGATATGTAAGAAGCAGAATTAATATGCAGACTTAACGTGATGGAGGCACTGCTATAGAATGAGGCTGATGCAGGGTAAATCATTTCACATTTCTGCCTTTTCTTTGCAAATGAGAAACGATTTCATCATCTTTCATTAGTGTATCGTAGATGGCACAGTTGATGATGTAAACATGATAGATGCCTAAGGCAGTGTTATATTTTTTTCTCAAGATAAGACGTCTCCAGAGCTCACTGTCTTGGCTCAGAAGTTGTTTTTCTGTCTCAGTCATGGTTTGAAGATTTTCTGAATATAGTGACGCTTGCTGCGGGTAACAGAACTTTGAAATGCAGAAAACTCTTTATTTCAACACTCCTGCACATGCAGGCTTGAAGCGAAACTCTTCTGCATCCAAATCTGACAGCACAATGCGTCTGATGAGTTTCTCATTCAAACTTTGCCTGTGAGTGATGTCAATCAATCAGAGGAGATGTTCAGGTTTCTCATTGCTCTCATTTGAATAGAAGCTCCTGAACCATTTTGGTGCAGAGTTTCTGTGTTTATTAGGTGCAAATCAGCGTTCGTTATTTGAATTACATGATTGAATTTGCTCTACAATGGCTCGTAAAATGGTGTGCAGACACAATTAGGTGACGCTACCATCTCACTGCATTTTACTGCTTTACTTTACTACTGGAGAAAATTGCATTGTAGGCTGTTTTCTAGGAAGGCCCTGAGCTTAAGATCAGGATCAGGGCCAATATCGGTAAATCTTCACTGGTCGGCATCAGCTGGAAGCTAAACATGATTTATTTAGTTTTTGTTGAAATCTATTTATACATGGGCATGTGTAACAAGCTGCAAAAACAGTTACTTCATATAGTACTGGGATAAAGGAATATTATCCTAATTATTTCTAGCATATTTTAACACTTGTATGCTGTCTGGAGGTCATTAACCTCTAAAGACTGTCATGATGCTCACTTACTAGCTAAACTCCCATGATGCTTTCTGCTTGCCAACACGGAAGTGTCCACCGCCCATGTGTGGCCACTTCAGTATTAAACAATAAGCAGCCAGGTACCACAGCTAATCCACAATACTTTAAGGGTGTATTATCCAGGAAAATGGTCTTGGGTATCAGCAGGTAGTAAATATTAAATGACTCGGATTGCATCGGGAAAAAATAATTAACAAATCATGGTCAGGTCACGAGTACTTTCTATAACACTCCACTGAATGTAGGACACTAAACCAGCTTCTCTTGCCACAACAGGTGAGGAAACATTGCTTTCCTGTAAATACTGATCAATAACAATAATGACGATGCTTAGACTCATTCACACAGCAGGTACTTCATGGCACAGTGTAATAGAGACAGCCATGGATGCTGATATCCAAACATGACATTCATTGAGAAGTAACCATGGTTACTGAGGTTTGTGAGTCTGTGCTGTGCTGTGCTGTGCACGTACCTTTTCTAATTAGTCATTTTCTCCCCACAGCCTTGAGCCAACTCCCTCACCTGCCAAGGCCCAAGCAGCAGATAAACCAGATGGTGAGTTTCTGCTCCCGCTGATGCGTAAAAAGAACCCAGCAGCCTCTAGTAGAGGTTGTGCTAATAGATTATTATTCTTAAGTGTCAATATATGATCATCATCAGCGGCAGCAATGTCATGCAAAACTGTCACAACAAGAGCGTATATATTAAAAACTGCCCCTCCTCCATCGTGAAATTATTCAAAGTCACAGCCAAGTCGTTCTAAGTGCTGTAAAGAAAATCACCTTGTTTCCTCTTGTCCAGACTCTAAGACTGCAGCGGCAAGCAGCTCCGGTCCGTCCTGCCGACCTCCGTGGGTCACCGACCGCAACTTCGCTGACCGCTTTCGCCCAGACAAGACCAGCACCGTCGTGACCCAGCACCAGCAGCCGGTCCAGCCGACGCCCATGCAGAACCGCAGCTCCATCCTGCAGGCAGCTCAGCAGGCCCCCGAAGACAGTGGGAGGACCCCAGTATGTGGTGCCTGCAACAAAATCATCAGGTGAGACTGAACCGCCACATCCACACTGACAGTTTGATTGATTGCTTTTGCCAGAATAAAATACTTGCAATGTTTGCTCCTTTCAGTCCTGTTTGAGATGACACGTAATTTGAGACGGTTAATATGCACGGCGACAGACTGTATGTCTGCTGCAAATTAAGTTAGTCAGCATAATTCACACAGTTTGGAGACATCTTGTTATCACAGGGGACAAGCATTATCCTGACATTTCACTGATAACAGAAATCCTACTTCTTATTCTGGTCACTTTTGCAAGCAAACAGAAGAGCTGTTTTTTTTTTTTTTTTGTATGTGTGTGTGTGTGTCTGAAGTGAAGGTATAGCGTTCTAAGGACAACTAAAAACACATCTCCAGTTTTTGTTCTCATTTCACAAAGAGACCAGTCTTCTTTTCCACTGTTCCTTTGCTCGAGCTTTTCATATCCGCCGTCTGTGTTTCCTGTTGAAACTTACGTAGCAGCTTTGATGTGTTGTTAATGTGTGTGTGTTTCCAGGGGTCGCTACCTCGTGGCGCTCGGACGTTCTTGGCACCCGGAAGAGTTTACGTGTTCGCAGTGTAAGGCCGTCCTGGAGGAGGGGGGCTTCTTCGAGGAACGGGGGTCCGTCTACTGCACCAAGTGCCACGATAACCGATACGCTCCAAACTGCGCCAAGTGCAAAAAGAAGATCACAGGGGTAAGAGCGGCTTCATCGTGTCCAGCAGTATCGAAACTCAAAACTAGAAAACATGGGGAAGACATTATACATTTAAATAGAACTGCTGCTTTGGAGTTTTCCGTGTTTTTTTAATTTATTTTTTTCCCCATGCGAGAACATCTGGATGTAGTCTCCATGGTGGAATGGAAAAGGATTATTTTTTTTTAAAACTGTCCAACCTTTTTCCCCCCTTATCAGGAAATCATGCATGCCCTGAAGATGACCTACCATGTTCAGTGTTTCAAGTGTGCAGCCTGCAAGAATCCCATCAGGAACCAAGCCTTTTACATGGAGGAGGGCGAACCCTACTGCGAGACAGGTGAGAAACTGAGGTGTTGCTGTCAGCACGTACTGTACTCCCCGAAGGCCAATTTATGGTTTCCACATCCCAGTGCGCTGACAGATGCAGGCTTTGAGCGTAGACGCGCATATTATAGTACAACATATAGGGTGCGTGGTGGTCTAGGCAGACGGTCGCATTGCCCCCCTCGCACTGAACCCAGAAAAACACCCATGTATGTTTTTGAAAAGCTGCCTGTTACTTTGCGCTTTTTTTTTACAGGATATAGCAGCTAGTTACAGATTGGGCTGTAGCACCGTGTCAATGTGATTATTCCTGAGGTGTGCCAAGCGCCTTGGAATAGCCTGCAGCTGGAGTTTGTTGCCTTCCCCTCCCTAGCACAGCGGGTGGCCATCGCACAGGATTTCTGGAGAATTTGGAACCTCAAGCTGCGTTTGGCCTCCATCTATTGGAACGCTCGTACAAATTAAAGCACCTCCAAAGTCCGGCAGCAGCTACTTCAATTCCAAACTCTTTTAATCATGAAATAGCAAGGTGTGGATGACCTGGAATCTCCTTGCGCAGCCGCTTTTCATAACAAGCATTTGCTTTTAGCGCCATTGATTTTCCTGGCATCTGTGCACAGTCCCTACAGCGAGAATTGGCCTTAACTTTCATCTTTACTCGAGCAATCTAAATAGAAATGAGAAAATTCTTGGTGGAACAATTGGTTTAGGTATGAAAATGACAGAAGACAAAAAGACAAAAGTAGCACTTTTACTGTGGTGGTAAACAAATACAGGTGCAGCAGAAGCTTCACATAATATGTATTGTTTTAAGATTTAATTACAACTTTAACACACGGGCAAAAATTAAAAAATTTACACTCGATTTTGCGACCTTCGTGCTTCGGCATATTGGTCGTTATGATGCGCTCTGTCCTGCAAAGTATGAGGTAAACTGTGCTCCAAAATAAGTAAAATAAAATCTGAAATGTCTTTCCCAAACTTACTGCAAATGATCAAATCCTCAAATCACATGTATCTGGTGGGAAAATGATAAATATAAGTTACAATTATGTAAATCCCTCGGGATCTTCTAACAGTAATTAGGATTGTGAAAATCAACCTGCATCTTTTCTCAGTCCTCCCTCGGTGTTTAATTTGAATGTGTTTTCTCTCAAGGACTGTGTTTTTCCTGTCACACATTGTTGACGACACCATAGAAGAGACGTAGGTAACATCACAGTCAAAAATCCAAGATGAACAGTTGGGGAGAAAAAAAAAAACTAAACTGTAGCTGTAGTTTAGAATTAATGGTAATGCTTGGAACAGAAAATATGAAACACTGGGTAAAAGTAAAAGTATGCTCAGTGCACAGATTGATTAGTTCCGGTGCCAACTGAGAACATCTTAACCCGTGTAAGACCCCTTGTAGCTTCACACATGGATCAAGCCTTCCATATTTATTACAAATCTGCACTGGCCTTAAGTACATGGGAGAAGAGAGAGGAGCTGACATCCCGCATTAAGTTTGCGATTGTGCTTCTTTCATAAAGAATGTTTGATCTTGTACTTTAAATGGATGCTGTAGCTGAGATCAGCGCAGTTCAGGCTACGTAACACACTCAGGGCTACAAAAAACTCAAACACGCAGCTTCTGAGTTTCTTCAGAAGTCTTGAAATGTACATTTTGTAATTAAAGTTGTTTCCGTTAAAAAAAAAACCTGATCTCACTGCAGTGCCTCCCCTCTCCGGTTTAATTTCCGTATTTTCAGTCGAGCTGTTTGTGACACATTTTCGTGAAGCATTGTTGTAGCGTTGCTGTGGGGTTTGGCATGGGCCTATATCGTGAATCTCTTGGCACACTCCACAGTCAAGTGTGATGTTTTCATCTACTGTAATCTATTTAGCTCCAGTTTACTTCATACATTTCTCTATTGGATTTTATGAATGGTGTGCGGTCTTCTATTATGCCATAAATGATTTAGCAGGGCGGCGTGCCTCTTGCTCGCTACTGAGGCTCTGACGTCGGATTGCTGCTTTATCAGGGGCGAAGCCAGAACCTGAGTACTCATATTCTGAATAATGCCTTTAGCTCTGATAAACATTCTGCTGCCTCAGCATCTTTCAGGGATTGTACAGCTCTCACCCACTCACTCTTGAGAAGCAGCATTATAACCTGACACTCTCCCCAGAGTCCTTGTGATGAAAGAGACTGGCAAATCCAGTCAAGTATCTGGAGCAATTTCCCCTCATCCTAATCCCTGCCTTACACTCTGGAAAGGCACTAATGCCGGTGGGTGGACAAAATAACGCAAACAGACAAGTTATCAAATGCCCAACGAGAAGAAGAGCCAACGTGGGGCATTAAAACGGCTCCATCCATCTTTATTGCCTGCATTGAGTCCCTTAAGTGGTTGTGTGTAGTTTGATATTACTCCTCTTCAATAGCAAAAAAACCTCCAGTTCTTTAAAAGATGAAATACTCTGTCTCACACTCTGCGACAAAGGTTAAGTGATATTTATGTATGATGATTGTAGAGGCCATGGAGATTTCTTGACCTGATGCTGTGGATGATAAAAGCCCTTTTGAATTGAAATACTTGCTTTTATTTGGATTTTTATTTTACATTTCTTCTGCCAACCACCTCTCACTCTGACTTATTTTTTTTCTTCTTCTTCCTCTCTCTAGACTATGAGAAGATGTTTGGCACCAAATGCCACGGCTGCGACTTTAAGATTGATGCCGGGGATCGGTTTCTGGAGGCCCTGGGCTACAGCTGGCATGATACGTGCTTCGTCTGTGCTGTGAGTCATTTTGATTGATACGCCTCCTTGTGGGCTCTCCTCGCCCCGTATCTCGTGGCCTTAGCGGCACAATAGCACCTGGAAAAAAAAATCTGCCTCCATCTCTAGACCTCAGGCTTTTCCCCTTTTTACCCTGTCACCTGCAGTCAACCACTCTCTCCATCTCTCTCTCGTTCTGTGAGGAAAACCGAAAGTAAATGCAGTCAAGTAAATAGTACGTGCCCGCTCTGGCCAGTAGGAAACTGTGTAAATTCACATTGGCAATGTGGAAGTCTGATATCTGCTCTGCCCTGGTTTCCCCAATCTGTCTCTCTGACTGTCTGTCTCCTTTCATCTTTAAAGCTCTGCCAAATCAACCTGGAGGGGAAGACGTTCTACTCAAAGAAGGATAAGCCCCTGTGCAAAGGCCATGCCTTTGCTCCGGTGTGAGAGATCGAGCTACATCTTCAGAAGAACCAGCACTTCTCTCTCTCCCCCTCCTCTTTACCCCTTTTCACCCTCTGACACATCCGTATACACTATCCATGCCCTGTTTTCCAACCACACACCTAGTCCAACTCTCTGTTTCTATCCCGCAGTCTTTGTTTTTCTGTACTTGAGGCTTAATGCTAGCTTCACATACTGTCACTTTACTGTGCTGTGAGGACAGTTCAGATGTCACTGCCTGTAATACCAAATGCTGTGTTGCATAACTGGAAGTAGTCAAGGAATTATTTCATGTCATCACTAACTTTTTTTGACTTTAAAGTTGTTCTTAGACTGGGCAAAAAAAAAAAAAAAGGCCCCCAAAAAGTGTCTTATTCGTCTAGATTTGATTGTTAGTGAAGAAATCTCTACATCAAGTCACTGTCTTCCAAGTTGAAAGAGTCATTGAGCCTCTAATAATCTCATGTATTGCAGTAATGATCTGCCACTTGTCCTGCACTAAGTGTAGAGAAGTGGTGGCCCCGTTCAGGACCCCGGCCCACTCACTGGCTCTTACCACAGTGCCCTTTAATATAATGGGGGCCAGTCAAGCAGAAAAGGAAAGGGGGGGTGGGTCCCCATTTCTGCTCGACTGGACCTCCACACGAAGCACTAAATGCTTTACTTTTGTACTTTGGCTCTGTCAGATCGGAGCACATGCTGCAGTTTTATCTGTCATTTTGAGTCATTTAATAATCCCTAATTGATCCAGTTTGACAGAAAACATGCTAATATCGTTTTTAATGTCTCATAATTCTATGTTACAGAGATTAGCTTTGATTATTGTTAATTTTTATGTAAGAAGAAAAAGAAATCTGTCAAGATACTTGTGTCCCTCAAGTTGCTATGATATTGTGATCATTCCTTCGAGTACTTTCAAGCCATTGCTGAATATGTATTTAAATTGCTTCGGAACTGGCCTGTAAGTGTTGTTTTTATAGCTGCTGAAAGTTTCAAATAAAATTAAAGCCGCAAGCGGCGATGGACGGGCATGTCGTTTTTGTCAAAAAATCTCACGTTTCAGAATGTCCTGAAAACGCATCAGGATGTAGTATATAGTGGGAAAATTGTCCTGAATGTGTTTAAAGACAGCTTAGGAAGGTACGTCTGGAAAAAAANGAGAGAACCCACGCTGCACGGGGAGAACATGGAGACTCCACGCAGGAAGATCCCGGGTGTCCTCACCGGGACGCCAACCGTCAACCTTCTAGCTGTGAGGCCACGGTGCTAACAAATGAACACAGCGAGGTCACGTGGGTAAAGGAAGCCGGTACTGTGTGAGTATTGTGGACCTGGACCTGACGTTTTGTTCCTTCTGCAGACTGACAGAAGGACCATTAACTCGCTAACCTCCGAGTCCTGCGGGTCTTGTAAGATGGCGGCCTCCAGCAGCAGCACGGCAGCGTTCAGGTCTCCCTCTCGAGCTTTCTCCTGGCCTTCAGCGAAGGCGTTGGGCCAGTCTCTGTACGGGTTGTTGGTGTTGAAGTAGTAACCCTGCAGGACAGAACGACAGCCTTCACAGCCTGAGACACGCATTGGGTTTTTTTTTTCTCAAAAATTCAAATCACCATCAATCAAACCAGCCTTCAACACGTATGTGGAGAATCTCCGGTCGTAGGAACCTGCACCAGAACACGCTAGCATCACCGCAACACGCTGAAGACTGCAGTGTCACATAGCAGCAACCAGGGTACTGACTAGAACAGGATTATTGATTGGACTCTGATCAGACACGATCGGTGATGCTGTCATCGATGAAACCTCGTATCTCCCCTCGCTTGCAGAGTTCGAGTTCTGTGTCATGTGACTCGTATCGAGGGCGCGATCGATCGCTGAGCTCCTGCTGACCTGAGAACAAGCTCTGATTAATCTAATGCTGGTTGTGTTTCTGCACTTGAAGCTGACGGACGCCTCACTGATCACAAACGCCACCGATGAGCGATCAGCTCTGATCAGTTTGCTGCTGCGAGGACGTACGAGGTTATCAACAGAACTTTACTCTTGTAGTCACTGAAGTGAATGCGGCACATTAACGCAGCAGCTGTTCAGAAGAACGCTGGTGTTACGGGTCAACAAGTTCAGACCTACAGAGTTATTTATGACATGAATTTACCTGAGTAGGTAAAAATAAAGGATGAAAACCCTACAAAATATACGAAACACAACTTCATCTGAATTTAACATGTATTAAGGCCAACATCCACCAGCATTAATCACTGTCCAGATGAAGCCGACCTTTTGCCTCGTTGTGGTCATTTTTGCCTCCTGTTACAAAAGGACAATCACTTCTAATAACTTGTTTAACTGTAAACTAAATGTTATAATTCATCCTACATCCACCCAACCGGTGGAGGCAGATGGCCGTCCCTCCCTGAGCCTGGTTCTGTCCGAGGTTTTTTTCCCCTGTGGAGGTTTTTGGTTCCGTCCCACCAGCAGACTGCTGAAGCTTATAGAGAATCCAGATGTTTGGATTGTTGGGTGTTTCTGTCTCTGTCTTTGTGAAGCGCTATGAGATGACTGTTGTTGTAAATATGCGCTATACAAATAAAACTGAATTGAATTGAATTGAATTGAATTTTGCATCTCTTTAAGAACATCGAAGGACAACGTAGAAGTTATGGGAGGTGAGGACACACTGGACTCGGACTAAACTGTGGACATGTCTGCGATGAAAACACGTGAAGGCCGACGATTTGTCCTGAAGAAAGTGGAGATGTTTGAACTGGAGTCCTGCAGCAGCCTGGATGCTGAATGTTAAACCTGGTTTACTGGTGAAGCGCTGCTGAGCAAACAGACTGTCTGTCAGCTTCCATCGTCTCACCTCAAATTCCTTCTTTTTAATCTATTAATGCGAATTGCTGTGAACAACAAAACTCTTCCAGCTGCTTCTTCTGTCCGAAAGCTCAGAGTTTGAATAAGCTAAAAGGCGGCTGATCTGTGGGACGTGTGAGCAGATGTTTGATGATGCGTCGCCATCACCGTGGTGATGTAACACCTGAGCGGAGGCGGGATTAGCGCAGGATTAGCGATGCTCAGCGCTCAGGACGGAGGCGCCCACAGCTGATCTCAGGCCAGAGGATTAAATCTGCAGATTAAAGCCGGCAAACATCCATCTCAGTAATAATGTGTCATGAGCGATAACTGCCTCCTTCTGCAGCGGACAGATGCATGCTGGGAAAACGCTCTGACAGCAAAGGGAAATGTAAAAGACGCATTCTTTGACTTTCTTAATTCAGAGAAGTTTGTATGTGAACTGAAGGCCTGAAGGCAGTTCAGCTGGAAATGTGTCAGTCACAGCAAAGAAACGCAGACAACACCAAGACTCACATAAAACCACCAGGACCACGCTCAGACGGGCACGAGCAGAACCACGTCAAACACAAGCAACAGACAAGACACACAATTCAGCAAAAAGAGCCAAAAACACGTCGTCAGGACGACACAAACAGCCAAACAGCTGGGATGTGTTACCGCGGCGATGACCAGAGTGTTTTTTTGGGGTCAAAATACTAGAATTTGCTTTTCAAACCCGCCAGTGAACAGTCTCATACTTAGGACCACATCTCCCAAAATGCAGCTGCAGGATGTGGAGCTGTGTCTTTTTGGTGGTTTTTAAAAGCCAATGAGCTTTTTAATGTTGTGAGGGTCACTCAGCCCTGCACAGGTGATGAAGCCATGGTGGCCGTGGCGGAGCAGCTGTGTGCTGCAGGTCTTCTGGTTTGTTAGAAGCTCGTTGGTTCTGCAGCTTTACCTTCTCAGCAGGTGAGACGGTGGGCGGGATCGGACGCTGGTCCTCCGAATCCTCCAGCCAGTTCCTCCGAGCGAGCTCCTCCCACTCGGCCTGCATCTTATCCCAGAACTCTGTGTCCGACTGCAACACAACACGGGGGAAGTCAGTTTGATTCATCTTTGGACCAAGGTTGAGTCATTTAGACATTTTAAAATACAACAAAGCATTCAGCTGAAAAGTCCCTGAACCTTTGTCACCCGACTGCTGGTCACAGCTGAACCAGTCATGGATTCACCAAACAGCGCAGAAGTTTTAGTTTTTTTCAGAATCTGGTCACAGCAAACTGTTTAATTTGTCATTTTTCAGAATTTAAAAAGTTTCCCGACATAATCACACCACAGACGAGTGCTTCAAGGACAGCTGAAGCTGAAAATTCAACAACTCTTTCTGTTTTTACAGCGTCTGGTTGACAAATGGAGCCAGTCTGGGGATTGTTCTGCCAGTGATTCAGAGAGCGAGTTTGTAACGTCGATGTATTCTGCATTTAAAGGTTGAATGAACGATGCGTCGGTCAGCAGAGTTTCAGCTGCTGAACGTGAACATGGAGTTCGGTTCCATCACACCAGACTGTCTGTTGCTCAGAGTGCAGCTGTTTAATGCAGGAACATAGAATCAGTGGACCAGCGTCTGAACCAGCTCCTCGTTAGAGGCTCAGCAGCAGGATGAGCTGCTCAGAGTCACGTCTCTAAAATCCATCCTGCTGTTTGTTGGACCAGAGCGTCGTAAACGCCGATGCTGTCGGAGCCGATCAAACAAACCAGCGACACCCACAGACTGGATATTAGCTGACTGGAAAAGTACTGCGAGGAGGCGGCTCAGCGCTGCAGCCGGACCAGGATGTACAGGAAGCTGCAGCGCTGAAGCACGTCATCAACAAAAGCTGCTTCTGCATCGTTATCTCATCTGACTGATCTGTTTCTACACATTACCAGTTGTCGATTCACAGTTCATTGATTAACTGGCTAATTATTGAAGCTTAGTGAGGAACCAGTTCACTGCTGCTGCAGAGCAAACATACTGTGGTCATGATGTCAAGTCACAGTTGTTTCTACAGCACATATAAAACATCAGTGATTCCAGTGTAATGAAACAAATAAGACTGGCGTCACAAACTAACCTCAAACGTTCAGTTGCTAAGGTAAAGACCCTACAGTTTTATTTATGATGGCCATTGACCCCATTAGTTTACATGCACTGCCCACATATAAAAAGTATTCACCCCTTAAAGCTCCACCGAGTTAGGCAAGAGTTTACAAAGACACCTCTGAAGGAG